TCACACACACCACGGACTCACACATGTACACAGGCACACACAACACACTACACACACCACAAGCACACAACACACACACACAGCACACAACACACAACACACGCAAGCGCGCGCAACGCACACACCAGAAAGGGAAGAGGGAGCTCCACGCCGCACACACGCACACACACACACACACACACGCAACACACACACCCACGCAAACACCACGACACACATGCAGGCCACAACACCACACACACACACCACACACACACTACACACACACACACACACACGCACGCGCATGCGCGCGCGCGCACGCCCGACCACTACGCACACCGCACACTGCCACACGCCGACACGCACACGCACACGCACACGCACACGCACACGCACACGCACACGCACACGCCACAGCGCACAACGCACACGCCACACCGACACCGCACACCGACACACACACACACACACACACACACACACACACACACACACACACACACACACACACACACACACACACACACACACACACACACACACACACACATGCACACACATAATATATATATATGTTGCGATTCGATGATTCGCCGCGTTACACGCAACAAAACGCCGAGGTTCCCAGGTATAGGCTGTATTATTATGATGTCGTGTTCTTCGTCGATGTACGCCTGCCTCGTCCTATTGAGTCATGGCGGGGCCCATCTGTCTCGTATTTTCTAAACCAACAAGCTAAAAGTCGTCTTCAATAACTACGACTAAATGGATATAGCTGGGTAACAAAGTTCTGTTTATTTACTGCACAATTAGTGCGCCTCAGAATGTGTATCTTGTTTAGGCAACAAAGCCTAAATGGATATAGATTCACGTAACGAATTATTCTTTATTTGCCTACAATTGAAGGGAACGAAGCGCGCATGAATCGACGCGTGCACAGGCGGCCGCTGAGTGACGCCTAGATGCGCACCCATCGTCGCCGTGCTCAGTGAAGCGCGCACGCCGCGCGGAAACGCAGCGCAGTCTTCACGGTACATTTGCCGAGGAAAATCGACATGAAATAAACAAGGCTAATTACACGCCATGCTATTTACAGGTAAAACCATTAAGTCACAAAACCATCGCGAACATCTCGGCACGCGATATCAAAACGATGTGCGGGACAAGCCCATTAAATCAGGTGCCTGCAATTTTGCGCGCCGAGTCGCTCTGCACGCAGCAGCAGCAGCAGCAACAGCCGTCGTCTGCACGGGTGCTGTGACGTCATCGTGCTCATGACATTCGGTAGGTAGCTATGCATTAAGCATCGCTCTGTGTTGGGTTGATGGCAAGGCAGCGCTAGGCGCGTTCTTCACGAGATCGCAGTAATATGCGCGCCTGTATGTGTGCGTGCGTGTGCGTGCCTGCGCGTTTGCGTGCATATGTGTATGCATGTGTATGAGCGCACGTGTGCGACTGAGTTGTGTATTGGCCTTGCTATAAGACTGGATGAACAAATAGCTGCATTTCATAGTGGATGAGTATTGATGAAAATCGATATTAAAACCTCGCATTTGCTGAAGTGTAAGTGCAGGAGTGTAGGCCATGTTTCGACAAGAGATAGATGACTTATATAGACGCTTTGTACATAAATATAATAACCGATGTTCAAGATGTCGTAGATTTACGTGCGGTAAATATTAAATAACAATATATAATAATATGACAATTGTATCACGAGCCACCTGATCAGTGCCGACTTTTTTATATTTTTTATTTCTTTTATTACCGTCGCGGTACAATTTGAGGGTAATTTTCACCGTTCGCCCTTCTTCAATGTACAATTTACAATTACTCATTCTATACAAGACTGTAGAAAGTAGGTGCTCGCCATAGTAATATACATACAAAATTGTACATAAATTCACATTTCAGCGCCATTTTCATATATAGTCATCCACAATACATGACAACGATGCTTCGTAAACGCATGTCTTCCGAATAAACGATCTACTTCTAAATCGCATAGATTTAAACTGACATTACACCGATCGCGTTGTCAGTATAAAAAACTGAATAATACCTCTGCAAAGTAATAATACAGTCATGCAGTGTCTCATCAGCAGCGTATGCTATAGCGATGACGATTTAATATTCGTCTATAGAGTAAATTATTACAAGCAATACTTGAGGCTTTGCTTTGTGACAAATCCGTTTTTGAATGAGGTTAACTAGCATCCTAATCGTGCATGAACCTACTTGTAAAATTTCACGCTCAGTAGCAACGGAGCTCCAGCACTTGTTACCACACTCTTCTATTTAATCTGTGCTGTAGCAGAATGTTATACAGGCGCACATACGTTCTATCTTGTGCTTAATAAATATAGAAGTAGGATAGATGAGAATCGATCTGTACACACCGATGCACTAGATATGCTGTTGACAGCTGCAAGCGAGCACACACTCATATCTACACGTCGAGTAGCCCCAGTTGCAAAACACAATGATTAAAAACAACAACGAGTTTTAAAACACATCTTATATTTACGGACACTTTCATGTTTCTGCACATAAACGTCGGTCGAGTGGGACGACCATGTTCCATGTCGACATTAGCATTGCTCTAAGGAAGAGACGAAGAGCACAAGTGTGCTTTCGTTAAAAGATTGAACCTGACTTTGGTAGAGGTACTGATTGTTATTCCGATAAATTTATTGAATAACGGCGTGTGGCCGTTTTCCTTCCGCTATAAACGTACATATTACTGCACGCATATATACCGGAAGGCTTTCGCTTTGACACGCTCATTTGTCTCTACTTCACCGAAAATCGCAAAATATCCGTTGTTATGCGTGTAAGGATTTCCACCAGCGGTTAGATGCTGTTCGTCTAGCTGGTCTGCTAAACTAATATATTACTTGAATCGATAACTCTTGTTATTACGCGTCTACGAACATAACACTTGGTTCACAATTTACCTTCCAAAAATCATCAACATTTTTGTACATAGCTAGCGCAATCGATGTATTCGTAAATAAATATCGATCGTATCTACCATGCAATCATTGCACCCAAAGCTAGGCGTAGATGAGTGAACCAAATAGTTGTTTAACATTGAGTTCTTCTGAGAGAGGACAATCACCACGACACGCATCAGTAGTTACATATAATATTCGCAATATCTGCACGTTGCATTCAGTTACGCGAACAGTTGCCAAAGACGAATCCTGTTTGCGTGTAAATTAAGAACATTCACATACACGTGAAATCTTATACCTATATACTGAATATACAGTTCTTCATAATGTCACGCGCATGCACAGCGAGGGCAGGATATGCCTTCAACTATCGTAAACTCAACGTTCTCTTTTGTATAAAATTGTGTCATTTAAAAGAATGCTCATCGTGGTATTTTTATGCAATAACAATGTTTTAACGCGTTATCCTAAAATTGTCACTTTTAATGAAAACAGCAGTATATGCGTACATGAAATACTTTGTTGTCACAAATTTTGTATGAACGTACATTGCGAGTTCAATATTCCGTTATTATTGTTATTGTTATTGTTATTATTATTATTATTATTATTACTATTATCATCATTATTATTATAGATAAATTGTGAATATCGTCACTCCTTGGAAACCATTTACACTTTCAAATTTTTTATAACTTAATTAGCGTAAATAACCCGTATACAAAATAATGTATTGTCTTACTTGAGTGATTTAGAAGTCATAGTATATAATAATAATAATAATAATAAATAAATAAAAATGTGTGCGTGTGTGCCCTCGCTAGTGTGTGTGTGTGTGTGTGTGTGTGTGTGTGTGTGTGTGTGTGTGTGTGTGTGTGTGTGTGCGCGCGTGAGTGTATGTGTGCGTGCGTGCGTGGTACGTGCGCGTTCGCGCGCCTGTGTGAGCACGGGTTTCGCTTACACGAATATCGAATACGCATTTCAGGAGAATGTCGAATCAGTGGCAGTAACCAGGGAGCAGTCAATAAATATCTATCCGACATGGGTGTAATACTTGATGATTACGAAAAACACATTCTACGTATTGGGCAAAGAAACAAATACGAATACGTTGTAACTACGATCATCGTTTACGACCATCTGCCTCGTTGCGCGTCATATCCATATCATAATAAGACAACGAAAAACATGAAACAGCCTATATGACCATCGTAGAATACCTAATCGTTATAAATATGTTAAAAGAAACACTAGAATAACTATCTCACCAGATGATGACAATAGCGAGTAGATTAAATTCGTTCTATTTACATGCGCCTAAAATACGTGCGCGCTCAAGTAATATCTATATTTATTAGTCACGTCTCGGGTAATATAACATATAAACTGATACTACCGCATGCCCGTGTTTGCAAAGGTTCATGTCTGTCTAGCGCAAGTGTAGCTTTTACAAAATCGCACGGAGAGTAGCTTCTTCTTTTTTTCTAGCGCTGTCGCAATCGTCTGTATTACGCGTCGCCATATTTCTCCGTCGCAACGGGAGGCCAAATTTATCATGCAGAAAATAAGCATGCAGCTTACCTGAGAACAAACCAGATGGAAACCGTAGCTGTTTTTTTTTACAGTAGACTATTTCGTAGGAAATAACTCAGGCGTTACATTTAACACATTCCATAACTATGCACATGGGAAAATCGGAGATGTGGAAAACGGACAAGCATTATCTTGAGATGGCGGTGACGAATACTAGCAATTCACTATACTGCCAATATTAGAGAGTTCGGCGTTATCTCAGTGTATCGACAGCGGGCAGAGTCATATTATCAGGATTTCATAGATATGAAATAATAGGTTTTATGTGCCTCTTTATATCTGCATATTATACGCGAATTGTAACGCAGTTAAAGTTGAAAAGGGCTAAAAATATTTTTATTATTGTTCCTTTTAATAAAAATGTTTAATAAAAATGCACGCGACACTCCAGCCAAGTATTTGTCAACAAAGAAATATTATTGATCTGTTTTTGTAAATCCTAATCCAAAGCTGCAAAAATACATGGGTCTGTGTATGACAATTGTATATAATTATAATTGCAATTATAATTATAGTTATATAATCTATTAATTACTAGTTATTGTGACTAATGGTAGTGGGAATCTTGCATGCAATGTAAGTGTTTGATTTACGAAATTGTGAGAAGCTGTTATTTAAACGAATTTGTCTTTTTAAATGCTAGTCGTGTTTAGTGTATAATGCTATAGCGCCGGATAATGCTATACTAATATCATCGTGTATATAAGTTCCTGAAAACATCAAATAGTCTGGCTACGAATGTTTTGACATGATGAATATGTTGCCATCGATGCATTTGTAAAGGGAACGATAATAGACTCGACACACAGGCGAGTAATGTGAGTATATAGAGGAGTTACACCTGCATGTGCTCACCTATGAAGGTTCTGTATGAATACTCAACCTTGACTTGACGGCAGCACGAAACAACTGCCACTGAGAAAAACACTGATAGAATGTCGCCGGCTGAATAGTCACGTATATATATATAAATATATATAAATATATATATATATATATATATATATATATATATATATATATACGGGTCGGTACACTGAACATGTTACGGAGTGAATTCATTATATATCTATATCTCGCTTATCGGAAGCCCCCGTGAGCCGCGGACGCTGCCATACCACCGAGTTATTACGTATGTAGCGCAGAGACGGGGTTGGCGGCGTATGCTCGCAAGGCCGTTCCCGCCCCGACACGGCGGCAATGCTGCCGGTAAACCCTAGAGAGTGACATCAGCTACCACAGGCTCCTCTGACGAGCGCCAGCCAGGCGTCGCCCGTTCGTCGCAGAGGCACAGGCCTGAGTCAGAGCCTAGACGACAGACGAGCCGACGGTTCATCCGGCATGCGACAGGTCGTTGTGCAGCGCCGGAACGAATTCGCGCCTGCGAAGAGCGAGTCAGCGAGTAGGGAGACTGATAGAGCGAGCCGGCATTGCCGCTGTTGACCATATTGCCGCGACGTTGGCCGCGCCGACGCACGACTCGCGCGGGACATCGCTGCGGGAGCCTGGCCGGGGCAGCGACAGTCGGCTCCCCGACGGCATCTGCGTCATCGCAGCGGGGAGCGAGCCCCTGGGCTGAGTCCGAGCAATATTACATTCAAGAGCTGAACCGCGGCTGCAACCGCGAGGAGTGTAGCGCGCTTTAGATGGAGGACCCACACGCAAGTGTGAACGCGTCCCGGAGTCCCTCGTGTTCTGAGATCCCGAAGCCGCTGAGATACGCAGAGTCTAGGCAGGCCACGGTGGTGCAGACGGGCCAGGGTTTGTAGAGCGCCTGGGAAGCGCGTCGGCAAGCATCTGCACGCCCAGGAGAGCAGCCGGCGTGGGCGGTGAGATGAGCGGCGGCGTTGGCACAGCCGGTGCACTAGCACCCAGGTAAAGCACGGGCCGTAGACCCGCCCGTATTACGGGAAAGCGTACTACCCTGAGAACGTTCGTCGTCTTCTTGCGTTTTTTCCACAACTGTGGTGCGCGACGATTTTGAAAGCCACACCTGTAAAACACGTAGCGTTTATGCAGCGCTAGCTGCGCGAGCACGTGCGGGCGATGAGATACCAGCTCCGGTTTATTTCACCCACATCCCACGCGCGCTCACACACACACGACCATCACACATACACCACAGCACAGCCAAACACAGCGCACACAACAACACACACCCACGACACACAAACAACACCAACACGCACACAAGCACACACACGCACGCAACGCACACACACACCACATCGACACAGCGCACACGCACGCCACGTCACGCACGCACCGCACACATCAGTCAACACACACACACAAGCGCACGCACAGCAACGCACGGAGGCACCACACACACACACACACAGCACACCAGACCAAACACACCCACACAGCACACTACACACCGGAGCCTGTCGCATGATTACCAGCGATATATGCAATGCAGCTTAAAGTGTCTCTTGATGTTTTAAGTAAAATACAGTACACACTCTTATTCTAGAATGCGCGCAGAAATTATCTAGAATATATATATATTAATAAAAACAGGACAGAGAGTTAAAATCAGCGACGACAGCTACTCGATCTGGTGCTATCAACATCGCGTCTCACTTTTTATTGCGTGTAGCTGAATTCCAGATGCCACACAGGCACTAGTCACGCGTATAGGCGACGCTTACTCGTACAAATGCAACGCCTCTCTCCCGATGCTATACGACACCGTAATACAGCATGCACCACGCTCCTAGCGTAATAAAGACTCTCATCAAGCGTGGATTATAAGGCGCTTGCACAGATAAAGATTTATGACAAAAGGACATGGCGATCTCTGACTCAACGCACCCTAAATGAGTCCCTGACAGTCACTCTGATGGAGTTTGTCCGATTATGTTTCCGCCGACCGAAGAGAACACAACAAAGAAGGCGACGACAAGCCTTCATTAATATGTGGTTAACTGGGCACTTGCGGACCATTCGTTTCAAAAAATTTTTGTTATTTGGAGAGGTGTAAAATACATCAGGGTGCAGAAACACCGTGATAAGGCCTTCTGATTCGCAGCTAATGACAACGCAGACGTTTAGTATGGCCATCAGCGTAGAATTACTTGAAAATATCTATTTCAGTATGAAATTAAACTTAACAATACCACGAAACGATAGTATTATTTGTTGTTTACTAGTGCTATTTTTTAAAATTGTGGGGGGGGTAATGTAAGTATTATTATTGATTGTTGAATCATATGCGGTAAGATCAGACAGACAATTAGACACGACAGAGGAGCGATATACCCTATCTAAATCATTATTATCATATCTGATACTCTATCTAGTATCTATCTATATATATATATAATATATATATATATATAGAGAGAGAGAGAGAGAGAGAGAGAGAAGAGAGATAGATGGATAGATAGATAGATAGATAGATAGATAGATAGATAGATAGATAGATAGATAGATAGATAGTTAGATAGATAGGTAGATAGATAAATAGATAGATAGATAGATAGATAGATAGATAGATAGATAGATAAGTAGGTAGGTAGATAGATAAATAGATATATATAAATAGATAGATAGATAGATAGATAGATAGATAGATAGATAGATAGATAGATAAATAGATAGATAGATAGATAGATAGATAAGTAGGTAGGTAGATAGATAAATAGATATATAGATAAATAGATAGATAGATAGATAGATAGATAGATAGATAGATAGATAGATAGATAGTTAGATAGTTAGATAGATAGGTAGATAGATAAATAGATAGATAGATAGATAGATAGATAGATAGATAGATAGATAGATAGATAGATAGATAGATAGATAGATAGATAGATAGATAGATAGATCGCGCACCGACCCGCACATATACACGCGTGCGCCCTAACGCTTACATGTTATAAATCTTAAATAGGAGAAGCTCGAAAGCTTTAGAAATCGAATAGCTATAGCAATTTATGGGAGCATTAAGCACATTTTTTCCGTTTTATCGTTCTTGCGCGTTGTAAATACTTCTAATGTTAATCTGTACGCACAAAAATTCTACCAAACGTTTATTCCATAATTACTATATCTACGAAAAACCCCATATCGATATCGTATTTACTGCGTACATATACTCCGGCCATAGAACAAACTCAACGCAGCGCCAGTGCGAACACAGCAGTAATTGTGGCGTTGTCTGCTTCGAAAGCAGAGTCGTGAAGCGCCGCGCACAGACGAAAAGGAGGGCAGCCATTTTATAGCGGGAGCAGCGGCAACACGATACACGAGCAGTACATCACCACGAACCACTACAGCGGATTCTTTACACGGCTAGCGCCGCCCAACCCGATTATTTTATAATCGCCCTAGCATAAAGCGGACCCGGGTTATTATGGCTGTCGTATAGAATACTACTATGCACGCCGTTACATCCGTTATCACCCAACGATATATCTGGTTGTAGAATTATTATGGTTAGTCCACATATACCGATACACGAACTAACATTTATATAACATGCTAGACACTGTATGGCAACACACTAATATATTACATTTCCGTACTAATTTATAAATTAAATGTAATATAATTGTGATGTATTGCTTACATATAGATATGTAGCAATCCATCTATATAATTGACTATATATCATATTATCTATATCATATTTTAATGTTTTGTGCTTCCCCAAATGAGTACTAGTAAAATATGAACAAAGAATTACTACAAATTTTACGTTGACGACCTACATGTACCGATATTTTTTGTCCGATAATTAAAATCGAATTAATGTATTTCTTACAAACTTGCGAAACTATTCGGTAAGGCTTCTGAAATGAATTTGTGTTTCGTCAGTATTTGCTTGCCATTTCTATTTTATGACACCAAAAATTGGTTAGTTTACGTCTCAATAAACGCTTTAACATTAGTATATCATCCAGTATTTTGTTGGATATCATGTGTAATATCTCAACCTTGCAGCAATATATCAATGCACGATTGAAATGCTTCCAGGCATTAATCATGCATCAGCAGATTTGACTCTAGTTGCATTTGTAACAGATTACCAGATCGTACACACACGCACGGACGGACGGACATACGCAAGCACAGACGGACATACGCACGCATGTATCCTTGCTCACGCACGCACACACGCACGCACACGCACGCACACACGCACGCACACGCACGCACACACAAGCACATGTATATAATATATGTCTAGTATAATTACTATGTATAATTATACATATTCATATTAAACAAGACACCGCTATAGTATTGGCTTGCACCCTATATATTGATAATTTTATGCTGAGCACGCCTGTCTGCTATTTTAAAAGGGTCAGCGAGTGATGGAATCAGGTCTAATCAACGTAAGTGATCACGTATTAGCCGACTTAATTAGGAACTATTAAAGAACTGCTCCCTATACACCTTGTCGCTCCACGCATGCATGATGACAATAATAGTTTAGCGTCTAATAATCAGGTTAATTTGGCTGCAAATCACGGCACCCGACCTTTATTTTGTCTGTGCGTCCGCGCCGTGATCTCTAAATGAAAATAAAAATAATCTAGTAGTTAATCGGTGGCTTAATTGTGGCTTCTTACCTGCACTCTGGACTCGGTTAGTCCGACGCGCAGCGCCAGCTCCTCTCGCATGAAGATGTCGGGATAGTGCGTCTTGTTGAAGCTGCGCTCGAGTTCATTGAGCTGGGCCGGAGTGAAGCGAGTGCGGTGTCGCTTCTGTTTCGTCGGCTTGTCGGTCGTGCTGTCCGAACTCTGACCGACCGACTGCGGTGGCTGGTGCTGCTGCTGCTGTTGTTGTTGCTGCTGCTGTTGGTGCTGATGCTGATGTTGCTGATGTTGCTGTTGATGCTGATCGAGGCTCTCCGACTTCAGCTTGTCGGAGCTACTGCCGGCTGCGTGAGAAATGAGACACGAGTTACAAATCCGATGAACACATGAAAGAAGATAACGCTGATGATCTTATCACTGCATATATGATGTTGTGAGAGTATAATACCCACTTTTCGCCCTATAAAATGACGAGCGAGTATATAATCACTCTAATCAACTGATGATTAGAATAATAATCCACCCTGTGCTGAGATTACCCTTGATGAATGCGTCGTAAATTGTCAAACAAGTCAATCAATACTAATTAAGTCATGTACTGAGGGAACAGTAGCGATATATCGCATCGCGAGTGCAGTAATCAAGTAAACCAGCGCTTAAGAAAAATTAACCTCACTTTCACGTAAGTAAATCACACGTTAAGATTTCAAAGATACAACAATGCTACCATAGCGCGTGTACAGCATCTGCGCGTCTATGTTCGCTCCTTGAAGTCGTAAATCACCATGAAATACGAATAATGAATAATCCGTCGTTCTCCGCGCGTGCGGTGCAACCAATGCCAGCTCGGCTGTATTCATTCGCATTAGTATCGAAGCCGACTCTCTCCGAATACCAAACGTTTAAAAAATCTGGAAATTCGGCCCCAGAGCGAACGACGCGATCGACTAAAATAACGCGTCGAGCATCGTCCTGCGTTTTTTTTTCGTTGTGCTTGTCGCGTCAAAGGTAGACGCGGCGGTCACACACGCGCGCGCGCACGCGAGCACACGCACGCATGCAGCCATTATCACACGATCGGCGACCAGCACGCCTGTTATGCCGCTGTCGCAAACATGCGGCGGCCGACGTCGGTCGTAACGATTGCGCCCGCCGCGCATATAATCAATTAAACACGAAGCGTCTCGCACGCGACGCACGACGTCAACGAAATGCAAAAATCCGTTCATTGCTAATTCGCTATAGGAAAAAAATACGTAACGTATTAACCGCGGCGCGTTTCTCACAGAGGCGTCGTACCGGACGTATGTCTTGCACAGATACAGTTGCTTATATATATATATATATATATATATATATATATTGGGTATGCAGGATTGAAAAAATCTATCGTGGAAACGCTTATATTTTTTTGTGACGAGGCCCTATAACACCACGCCTGCATTAGACGTACTGAGTTTTGCCGCGTAGTGTTGTTTGAAGACGTACGTACACGTCGCATAACGGCTGTAGTAAACGCGTCGATACGATGTATAGTAAATAAGGCGGTAAATAATATTGCATTGATTGCAGGTAACAGACGCCCGCTCAAGTAACTGCATGCATAGGAAAAACCTCGCTTATAACAAACTTACATCATTTGTATGTAGATAAGAACCTAGTGCAATTGTGAAATCGCAATTATACTGTTATTATCTATTATTATTATTATTATTATTATCATAACTATTATTTCCTATCACTATTATGATTGTTACTATTATCATTGCAAATCAACGCGCCTGGAAGAGAATGACATGCAAATCAAATTGGCGCGTTGGTCGGTGTCGAGATATTATAGAGATAGCGCACAAAGTACGCACACATAGCTGATTGGATTATTCTAGCAATAGTTGCTCATTCGTATACAATACTATCTCGACATTAAACGTAACTACCGGAAGAACTGACAGCCGAGATAGCGAATAAAACATCAGAACAATCACGATCATATAAAAGCAGCGATCGGTTTGCTACATCTTAGTCAACGCTATACTTACTAATCACTATCCGAAGTAAAACAACAAGTTATAATCTCGTCGACTCGCGATCACACAATATCGAACAATTAGCCTAGAGATAGGTTATCGACGAGAACGCGCACATTGCAAAGGAACGTCTGTCCGACGGCCTTCGCGGCCAGGGCATGGCGGGACCGGGGTACTGCTCCGAGCGAAGAAAAACGAGAACTGGAAACGAAGAATCGCCTCGACTTGTTGCGAAGCAATGCATTACCGACGGCAATTACTTGCAGTAGCCGCGAGTGGTTTTTCAAAATTAGCCGATATTGGTGCTGAAAGACGAAATTTGCCGCAATGGCTCTCAATCCCGCGCTGCTAAATTTAATAAACGATAAGCCTATCAAAGGTACAGGAGCTAATTTATAGTGTTCGGTAATGTAATTGGAGCCGTATATACTACTTACGTGTGCCCATGGGTATGCCAGTAAGTATTTCGGCTTGAGACGGGTGCAGGCCATGATTTCCCAGTGGGTTGGAACTGGTGCCATACGACATAGGATCCATCCGCGCCGAAAATCACCTGCGACAAAAGCAAGTTACACAGGGAATGTGAGGCGGTCGCGGACTGGAGAAGGATGACACCGGCCGGTATAATGTGTTCGCAGTGGGTGTGACTAGCCAATCAGTGATCAGCGTTCGGCCCGCACGCCGAGGCCGCAGCGGCAGCGTCGTGGATAATGCGCGACGTACGGCATGGCGGCTGTGAGGCGCGGTATGTGCACGCGGCAGAAAAGCGCACGACCGCCGCTGCCGCCGCCGCCGCCGCCGCCGCCGCCGCCGCCGCCGCCATCATCAACAAACCACGGGACACGCCGTTGTCGTCGCAACCGCTGATCCACGGATAAACGCCTCATGCCTAATGCATGCATGGCCGCCACGTGGTTGTGTGTGTGTGTGTGTGTGTGTGTGTGTGTGTGTGTGTGTGTGTGTGTGTGTGTGTTTATATATATTATATTAGATATACAATATTAGATAGCGAAATCATTGTTTATAAATTCGGAAACTGCTCGAGGTTAATATTCTCGATTCTGCTGTCGATCTTAGTAAAGATCATAATATACATCTTATATGTTCATGAGTTCAGTGGAATAATCTAATGCTCT